TTAGGGATAAAAGAATTTGGGCTGGCTTTGAACCATGATCTCAGCCTCTTGAGTAGTTAGGATTAGGAGCATGAGATAACAGAACCCAGCTCCTAGTTTTAGTATCCCAAAATTGAATACCTAAATAATTTTTTTGGGGGGGGATCGGTCATGGGGCCTGAACTCTGGGCCTGAGGGCTGTCCCTGAGCCCTTCAGCTGAAGGCTAGCGCTCTACCCCTTGTGCCACAGTGCCATTTCTGGCTTTTTCTGCTTATGGGGTGCTGAGGAATCGAACCCAGGGCCTCATGCATGCAAGGCAAGCACTCTACCACTAAGCCACTTTCCCAGCCCCCAAATAATTTTTTTAATTAATGAGAGAAATAATTTTTTAGGAGGTTTATTCTGCTTTTATACCTCCCTACTTCCAGAAGAATGGTAGAGTAAGCTAAAGTATTACAGTCCTGGAAGATCCAAAGGGACCAGCAGATACAACAGTGAAAGCTCCTAAGAAGGAGAGACTACTTTCCCAGTCTCTCTTCAGGGATATATCATGGCTTACCTTATGCCTAATTGTTTTATCATAGTGCCGGGGTACTTTGCTTGGGTGTATCAGTGCTTGATTTTTATGACTTAGTCATTTTATTCCTTAGGGAATAAAATGGTGCCCAGAAGGCATGAACAGCTCTGATTTTGCTCTGAAATTTTGTTGTTGTCAACAGCAACAGAGAACTCTGGCTCTAGTTCTCACTGCCCACTTCCTATAGACAAGAATTCTTGGATGGGCTGCTTAGGAACTGTGCCAATCCTATGTCTGTCTGGTGACTGACTCGTGAGAAAGTAGCCTGATAGCTGAAAGATAGAGAGCCAACAAATCACCCCCAGGTGATTTGGTGTTAGTTGGAGGTGACTGACCATTTATTTTCTCTCTTTGAAAGGAGACACAGTGGTCATCTTCCCTGAATTTTTCTTTAACTATTAGTGAAATAGCAAAGCAGATAGTTGGTTTTCTGTGGTAGAATGGCTAATGGAACCTAGGGCCCTCTGAATCTTTCCCCCTGCCATCAGGGTTGCAGATTATGTGTTACTTATCCTATGTCTGCCCTTCATTATTCTCATCCTTTTGCCAGGAAGCTGGCTGTGTGCACCAAGAGAGCTCTACTAATTTCATTGCTGCCAGGTTTTTCTGTGACTAGCCAAACCCCAGCCCACTGATACAGTTTTTCTCCAAATCACTCCCTTATAAAAACTTGATACTATGTCCCAGAGTTGATCAGGAGCAAGGGTTTGAATCACTATTTCTTGGCTGGGATTAGAGACCAAGGCAGGTGAGCCTGCCTCCACTTATCCCCTCTCCCCCTCCAATCCCTCCCTACCCCTCCTGCCTCACTCTCATTTCCTGCAGGAGGATGCTTTGCCATCCTGGAGCCATCAGGCACAGCTTTGCTTTGGCAGCACCATTGCACACACACTGGTGGGAGAAGGGACATGTTTATCACTTTTCCTGGAGATTATCTGTTTAAGCACTTCTCTGACAGTTACAATAACAAGGGCAGTGTGTTGTGTTTCCCAGCAGAAGGACACTTGCTGTTGAAAGATGTATAGCACTAATTAGAAATACATAACATCCGGCCACATGGCAGCCTTCTCCCGGCCGCTCCATTTCCTGATTTCATACAACTTTGACGACAGTTGGTTTATGTTTTCCATGAATATGTTCTCAGAAAAATGAGAAACTCTCCCTGTTACACAGGGGCAAGAAGGATACTTCTGCCTGAGCAGGTAGTTAGCCTGGGGAATACTTGGAGGTGTGGTCATTTGCCCACATGTGGAAAGAAGCAAAACCAAGTTCAGACCTCAGGTGACTTTATTGGTAAGAAATAATTCCATCTGACATTCTTAGCCAAAACCATCCCCCTAAACCCTTGAGCAAGGCTGCTTTTGGAAAGAAGGGGAAAGGCTATTTCACAATGTTAATGAGTTCCTCAGCTCATGTCAGGCTCCTGCTACCTGACACAAAGCCAGAGGAACCCAGGCAAATACCAAGATAAACAATGCCTTTTCCTCCCCACCCTACATCACTTATTTGCCTGACCCAGCCTAACTCCAGGGATACATACGGACATTTTTTTCAGACTAGGTCCAGTTTCCTAAGTCTGGCCCCAAAGTGGGTGGACTCTGGTAATCTAGATGACTTTTTCCCACCTTAAAAGAGAGAAAATAATCTCAAGAATATTCCTGAGTGTGTATCTATAACTTCTATCCCACAGAAGCCTATGAAAGGCCAAGAGCATCCTCTGAAAATACCATGCATTTAATACATTTTTTATTTGAAATACATTTAAATCCAAGTTGCCATAGTTCCTTGAGTAAAAAAAAAATTCCCTTCAGCTAACTACATAGTCCTTTGGTTATGGAAACCATGATTTATTTGTGGCTGTACCACAGTACCAAGCACAGTATTGATGCTCTGTGTGCTTATTGTACTATTGAACCAGGGAGAAGAACAAGCGATTCAGAAAGTGCTACAGATAGCATCGTCAGTCCAAGGCTGACCAAGACCCAGACATTCTGGGGTAGCTTGTGAGATGTCTGCCTGCTTGATTAGAGCTTCCTGGTTTGTATCTCTCTATTAGTTGGGCCAGACACTTGAGCAGACAGTGCCCTTGGACCCTACCCTAAGAGGATGTTAAAATGAAGCAACTGAGGTGACATAAATATGCAAAATAGCTATGAAGCTGTCTCCTAGCTACTTCTCTGAGTTATTAGTTGATCCTTCTCAGACCTATACCAAAGAGGTTCCTATTTTTGCTACCCTACTTGGTCCCACACCTTATTGTAGGAACTACACCAGATTCCCCAGAGGCCATGGATACACTTAAGCAATCCATGTTCCTTATGCTCCCAGCTTGAACTCTGAAAGACAGTTTAGTTTGATTACTGTTCATCATAAAAATAGGAATGTTTGGGGCTGGGAAGTATGGCTCAGTGGTAGAGCGCTTGCCTTGCATGCATGAGGCCCTGGGTTCGATTCCTCAGCACTACATAAGCAGAAAAAGTCGGAAGTGGTGCTGTGGCTCAAGTGGTAGAGCGCTAGCCTTGAGCTGAAGAGCTGAGGGACAGCGCCCCAGGCCCAGAGTTCAGGCCCCACAACTGGACCAAAAAAACAAAAAACAAAAAATAGGAATGTTTGGTCAAAGTAAGTTCTCACTGCCCCATCTTACTCTTACCCAGGCTTTTGAGAGTTCCTTGCTGTATCTAGTCTCTTGGAGCAAAGATATCCCCTTCTGTCTCTGACAGCTTTCTCTGTGTAATCTCATTTTAGACATCTTCTACCTAAAATGCACAGACAATGAGGAGGTGCTGATACAGTTAGAGAGGTGGCAAGATTTGGTCTCTACTTGTCCTATCTCAGTTTTCTGTGTTCTGGATTTATTCTCTATTCAACCTGATTGCAAATTAAGAGTTAGGCTGATAGATTAGCTGGGGTTGAACAGACAGTGTTGCATAGATGGTGCTGCTACCTGTAGCTGTGCGGGAAAGGAAGACATTAGAAATTTTCCTTGGGACAACTTACACATCTCCCCTTTCCTGCTGATATCCATCTATTCTTGGTTGCTTGTTTTCTGTCTCTTTAACAGAAGTTAGTGCCTTACCAGTGTGATGATATGTTCTAATCTCATGGATTCTTATCACTTTCCCACTACCTGCCACAGTTGAATTGGGAAGTTAGAAGGTGACATTTGGAACCAGTGGGCAGCTTGAAGCCTGGCCACAATAGAAAAATTGCTCCATTAATGCTATTCACATGTTGGACTATCCTGAGCAGCAGGCTGCTCCTCACTTCCAGGGCTTTACTGTAAGGAATAGTTGTATAGTATCTCCTGAAGTAACAACTTCAGTTGGGCTCATTGAGAAGACCAGCAAGCTGACAGAGGTTGAAATGCATGTAAGGACCAAGATCAAACCTGTGGCTAATTATCCTTTTAACACTTGGAAATTCTGAGTTCTCCAGTGTTACAGAGGAAACTAACAAATTAGCTGCTGCCAAAACTAATGAGGTTGACCCCTGTATTCATCTCTTATGAGTGTTGGGTATCTCCTCCCCTGAGGCTACCAGTTGGACTGCTGCCTTGTTTCTTAACCAGTTCCCTTCAAGTCTGGATGAAATGGCTGTTGGGGAAGCCATTGACACTGAATCAGAGCAAGCAGGAATGTGTGTGTTACATTGTTCCCTTCAAAGACCAACTCTACCCACTGACAAGACTGACTCTTTTCAGTGTCCTGAAGCCTGAAGGAAGTTAGCCAGGCTGAAAAAGTAGGGATGGAGGGTGCTGGTATTGGGAGCCAGGTTTATTATTTTTGCCATTAGGAAAAATGAACACTAACATCGATTAAAGTGTATATTATGTGCCAAGCACTATATAATTATCTATTACAGGTGGCTCACACCTGTAATCCAAGCTACTCAGGAGGCTGAGATCTGAAGATCACAGTTCAAAGCTAGGAAAGTCCATGTGATGCTTATCACCAATTAACTACTAGAAAACTAGAAGTGGCACTGTGGCTCATAGTGGTAGAATGCTATCCTTGAGTAAAAGATCTCAGAGACAGTACCCAGGCCCTGAGTTCAAACCCCCTGACCACCACCAACAACAGCAAAAAATATTAATTTTGTTACTGTAGTTTTATTAATAGCTAAACCCAGAGACTCTGCAGCTCTAGCTCACCTTGCCTACTCTGAGCAATGGGTCCTGGGAAAGTAATATAGAACAGAATTTCTCACAAGTGATCCTTAAAGTTATTGAACATTTATCCATACACGAGGCATACTGGTGAGTATTTTACCTATATTATTTTACTTAGCCTTATAGCCCTCCTTCAAGAGAGAGAATTATTTCTATCCATAGTCTTAGATGAAAAAAAGGAAGCTCAATAATGTGTCCAAGGAGGTACACATCATAAGATGTGAAAGTAATCATGGGCTCCCTGGTGTAATGAAGTTTCTTTTGCTTCTCCTTAGACTGCTTCTCAGAGGAGTGTCGTTCTGTGATCCAGGAGCAAGCTGCAGCCCTGGGCCTGGCCATGTTTTCTCTACTGGTACGGCGCTGCACCTGCTTACTTAAGGAATCTGCCAAAGGTAAGCAGGATGGCCCCTGACTAGTTGACTTTCCAGCTGCTCTGCCCTATCAAAATGAGCCTTAAAGTGCCAAGCTGCTTTCTCAGTGTCTTTCTTGTACTCTGCAGTCTTCCTCCTCCCACCTTGCCTTTTGCCATTTAACTAGTTCCATTTCTTTGCTATCTGATGAGCTCATAGGTCCTCTTTCTTGTGGATCTGTTCCCCCCTCCCCGCCCCTGCCCTCTGTTATGATTTACACTGTACCTAAGATTTACTGTGTGGTTTTTATTTTTATTATTTTTTTTTTTGGGTCCGGTCGTGGGGCCTGAACTCTGGGCCTGGGCACTGTCCCTCAGCTCTTCAGCTCAAGGCTAGCGCTCTACCACTTGAGTGACAGTGCCACTTCCGGCTTTTTT